TTTTTATCTCACTGAAATTCAGTACTCTTCTCTCAAAATAGAGGAAAGATAGAAATGCTTAGGACACGTAAATAAAAATAAAGACAAGTCATTTTTTAATACTTAGCTTTGGCAAAACATTTTTTCAGTAAGATATTTCAATTCAAGCAAAAATAAAGTGAAGTAGGCATTTTCAAAATAGGTGAGGGGAATGTATACTGATAGAACAGTTCTATGGATAGTTGGCAAATATGTACAAGAGTCCAAGAGAGACCCATACTGCAACTTATTAATTATTCCCAAGGACATGAGGCTAAAATAGTCACAAAAATAATCTATATACGAAAGATTCACTACAGTGTTATAAATGACAGAATTTGGAAATAACAATGAGGTAAAAGTTAAATGTGAATATTTGATTCAGGATTCCAGCATTATACCTATGAAGAATTTCTACTAATACAAAGAAAATTTAAAATATGATCTGAAGAAAAAAATGAAACAAATATACAAGGGTGTCTTTCAATTTAGTGTGTGTGTGTTCTTTTTACATTCAGCTGTGTCTATATTTTTGAAACATTCCACAATAATTAAGAAAGCAATAAGCTTTATTTATTCACTTTGTTATTGCAGAGGAATTTTGGACTGTACCCTGGACATCCTTATACTGTTATAAAACTCTGGTTTCTACTTAAGCCTTCTATTTTAGCAAGGAGTCAGCCACTCCTCAGAAACCCTATGCAGGATCACTATGAATCGGACTGATTCAACGGCCCTTCTCAACAACAGCAACAGCCTGTGAAGGTTCAGAATGCAAGTCCTGACTCACTTTTGGAGGCTGCAGTTCAATTGTCAGTGTGGTTTATAAAGTCTCTGCAGTGCTAGTCTTGTCTGCCCAGTCTGTTAGTGAGATGACAGAATTCAGCCCAGCCCCACAGTCTCCACAGTGCTGTTGGTTGGGTAGGAGAGGGAGGACAGACTAATTACTACAGAGATGGGGGGAGGGGGAGAAACAAGACTCCACCCACTGACTCAACCACCGGAGATCCTTAATACAGGGTTGGGGGCCAAAAATTAAATAGTCCCAACCAGAGTCTCCAAAGGGCAGAAGAAGAGGTACTGTTACAGGGCAAGGGTGGAGGTCAGAGTTCTGCCACAGGCTCCAGCAGAGAGGGGCATGACTCATATGGCAGTGGTGCCGGGAGGGGGTAGAAGTCAGACTTTCACAAGCAGGTTCTGTGGGAGATGAAGTGCACCTCGTTACTGCAGGTGGGGAGGCAAAAACAGGTTTCCACTGTCTGCCTCCAACTGCTGGAGTGCCCACTGAAGCAGACAGGGGGTGTAGCTCTTTTAGTCCAGCAGTTTTTGCTTGTTTATTTTTTTTCCCCAGAAAAGGCAGGTTTGGTCAAAAGGTCTGTCTCCTGTCAGGCTGCCCTTTTCCCAGACCTTTGTCTAGACAGAGCAGGCTTTTCTTGGGGCTTTATTTTTGTAGTTGGGTCCTTTATTTCTGGTTGGCAGGCTTCTCTATCATCCAAACCAGAACATATAGGAAGAGAACACCCCAGTGAACTCAGTGCCATGAAGTTTCTCAAACCCCAAGGTCCAAGTTAGTAGACCATCTGTTCAGAATCTTCTGGTAAGTGACTTAATATATTTTGTCCAGGGATTTGTATTATAATTAGGAGGAGGAATAAAATGAATGTTTTTGCTCATCTTGTTCTGAACCACAAGATGTATCTGCTTTTGTTGTTGTTGTTAAGTGCTGTCAAGTTGATTCTGACCCATGGCAACCCTGTATAGGGTTTCCAAGGAGCAGCTGGTGAGCTTGAACCACAGACCTTACAGTTCAAACGACTTTGCAGTCTGACACATTAGCCCACAGTGCGACATCAGGGCTCCGCAATTTGCTTTTAAATGCATTGATAAAGATGGATTGATGAATGGAAGGTTGGAAAGACTGCTAGATGTGTAATGTGCCAAACCCACAGTAAAATGTTAGTGGTAGAGCTGTAAAAGACTTTCAATTTTGCTTATGTTTTAGAATTTTTCATAATAAAATATTGGAGAGGATCTTTTGACCAAATTCACAATGCAAATGATTTTTAAAACACACAAAAAATTCCATAATATATAAAGAGGAGGAAAGAGGACTGAAAAAACAAAGGCTCTGTTAGAATGGAATTAAGACCATAAAATTTCCCATCTTTACTGAATTCCTCTGTTGAGTGCAAGAGATGTACTAGAAATTTGCTTTGACCAATAAGTTACCAGATTAGCTGGAACAAGAGACTATTAAGATGATAACAGCTCTTTGTAAGAGCTCTAGCCAGCTGAATGCTACTTCTTCTTTAAATAGCTTATTTTGTTCACAGGCTTGGTCCTTAGGCCTGTCAGTTCTTGCATCCCCAAGAGTAATCCCATCAGAGTTAACAAGCACTGTGCAGTTCAGGTGCTTACAGGATGGTTAATGGTAGGAAAGGACTAGATACATTATTTGAAATGAAAGTAAGAGAGAAGGGAATATAGCTCTAGTTATATTTTTATTTTTGAAAAGAAACTAATTATAGACTAAATATGGGGATCCAATCTGAGGAGAACTGGGGTTACAGTTATGCCATTGATATGTACACATACATATATAAGGAGCTCTGGTAGCATAGTGGTTATGAGTCGGGCCATTAACCTCCAGGTCAGCTGTTCAAAACTACTAGTTGTTCCGTGGGAGAGAGCTGAGTCTTTCTGCTCCCGTAAAGATTTACAGCCTCGGAAAACTTAGGCAGGGTCACTATGAGTCGAAACCAACTCTACAGCACGCCACCACCATACACACACACACACACACACACACACATATTCATAAATAAACATGAAGTGATTGCTCAACATGCAAAAAGTATTCCGAATGCAAAGTAGTTGAGAATACTGATTCTCCTAAGACTTCCCACAGATAGAGCAGGGATGTGTATCAACATCTATTGAGATACTACCCCATCTGTGACACAGAGATCCTGATGTAAAACTGATGTAGGGGTTAAATGAAATGATAAACATAAACCACTCTAATCCCTACCTAGAAGCTTATCTAGGCACACATTCTGAATTCTGGGAAGGATGTATGAAAAGAACAAGAGCTATTCTTTCACACACACTGAGAAATGTAATCTAGAACACTGGATGAGCAGTAGGTAACTGTCCAATGGTCTCTTGCATTTCCTGTCAGGGCACCTTGGACAATGCCTGCCTCCTGAATGACACCTGGACACTCAATTAGCTGGTTTATTCTCTGGCCAGGCTCTCTTGGACCAAAGCAAGACTGGCAGGTAAGGCTGAGCTAACTGAAACCACAGAGGACTGCCTTCGGGTTTCTTATAGAAGTGTCTAAACTAAATCTATCTAGTTTAGTTTTGACCTGAATTTTCAACATAATGCTGATGAACATCTTCTAAGTGGCTGAAATATGTATTCGTTTTCTATCATTTTTAAATGGCTGCCTTAAACTATTTGTTAGAAATAGGTTCTAAATGCTTGAGTTACAAGTGAACCAGCTTGGTAAAATGCCTGCGGTGTTTTTATTCCTGTCATTAAGTAATAATGACTACCCAGAACGCACTGACATCAAGTCAATTTTGACTCAGTAAACTCTATAGGACAGAGAACTTCTCCATAGGATTTCAGAGACTGCCTCATCATTTTCCTGTGGAACAGATGGGGAGTTTGCAGCCTGTGGTGTAGTGAATTATCTAATGTCTCTTCTAGCCGTGGTCTGTAACCGCCACCAAACATTTCTGGTCTACTGGGTCTGGGTAAGAGAAGATGGGAGAAGATACTGATAGGCTGCCATGATTCAGCTGTGGATGTTAACAGAGTTCACTGTAATGTAAAAACTTGAACTCTAGCACGGGCTTAAAATGAGTCATCTCAGAAGCAGGAGAGGGTATAATCTCATGATTATCAAACAGCCAGGAGGGGAATGCGTCCTATGGACCCTGAGATCCCTGAGCAGCGAACCTCCTCGACCCAACTGGAGGAGTGGCAGAGGAGCAGAAGAGAACCAAGAGCCAGAGCATGAGATAGAGCAATGGACTTGCCAGCCCATGCAGTGAGTAAAGCTGAGTGACTCTGGGCAGGAAGTTTGCTTGTACAGTGGAGTGGTACCAGGCATTTAAGTGGAAGAGCTACATTTGCTGACCCATGGAGCTAGAGCTGAGTACCTTCAGATGAGGTTTATAGTGGAGTGGTGTGTCCTGTAGGCATTTATCAGAAGCTGACTGGAACAACTGGGTCCTGAGCATTTGTGACCCTGAACTGTAACCCCATAACTGGGAATATGGTGTCTGAGTATGGTGTGGCCATTGCATGGGATTAGTGAGCCCAATTGAGAAGTACAGTGTGTCCTGGGAGGGAAGGTGTGGTGCACATTTTCTGCACAATCCAACACTTAACTCACTGTACCACCAAGGCTCCTTAATAATGAATACAATGACTAACATATGTACAATGACTCAACATTTACCTGTGTCCTTTGTTCATACTGTCCTTTTTTTTTTTTTTTTCGATCTTCATAATGCCCTATCCTACATGGCTCATCATCTAAGCTATGCCCCCCAATTTATGCCATTGGTGCCAAATAAAAACTAGCTTGATGTTCCCTTTTCTTCCATTCTGGTCAGCCTCATGCTCTACTTCCTGATCTATCCTCCTTCAGCCTAGTCCTATGATGACTTTATTATAGACTCTTCTGCCCCCTGTACCTGTCAATTGCCTTTTCTCTGGCTGCAATTTCTGACTTTCCTCTGTAACTGAGACTAATATCTGTCCCACTGACCATAGTCCTTCACATAATGGTGGATAATTACCTTGCCAGACCCAGTCACTGGGTGCAGGCCAAAACTTCTGTACTGGTTTACATACCAGTGTCAACACACAAACTCTATGGAAGCTTTCAATTCATTTTCAGGGACCACGAGGAAGCATTACTAGAACTAACAATCAGCAGTCATTTCTTCCAATTTCTTCATCTACTAATAATTGTGGGCATTCTCCATTACCTCTGCCTTTGGCTCAGCTGATTCATTAGAGGTATCAAGTTGGTCCTTAGCTTGGGCCATTTGAGTCATCAACCTATCCATGTGGGACTGGATGTCTGCCAAAATCTCAGTCACATGAGCTGTGGCCATGGCTTCCTGAATGTCCACTAGATGAAGAGCCTTCTGTTCCTCATCAGCAATCACCTTCTGAACTTTCTTAAATTCCTGCTGTATAAACACCTTCATTTGGTCCCGAGTTACCTGTAGAACAGAGACAAGAAGAAGGAGTCATATACACACACATATACACGCACAAAGTCAACAGCTATTGCTATATGCTAGGCAATCTTGGACAAAATACAAACCATGGCTCCTAGTTCATCCTGAATGTGTTGGAATATCCTCAAACAATGCTACCCTAATCGCTTTGAATGTTTCCTGTTCATCTTTTTGTCCTTTACGTTCTTCAGAAAGTAATTCTTCATCCTGCCTTTTTACTTCTGATATGAATTTTTACATGAATAAAACATCACTGGTTTTAGAGGAAATTATAATATAGTATTCAGGAATCAATTATTGTCAACTCAGCTGTAACTCACAGTGACCCCACGTATGTCAGAGTAGACTTGTCCTTCATAGGGTTTAAATGGCTGGGTTTTTGTTTTTTCATGTATATTGCAAGCTTTTCTTTCAAAAAGTACGTCTGGATGGACAAGATATGGAAATCCACGTGGCATGCAAATAAAAAAAGACATACAATTAAAAAACAAACACTTGGCTAAGGCAGAGTCCAATCCACACAAAATCATAAGAATGGTACAGAACTGGACAGTGCCCCTTTCTGTTGTACGTAGGGTCACCATGAACCAAGGGTACACTGGACAGCAGCAGCAAACAGCAACAATAGTGTTGTAAGGAATAGTGTTGTAAGAATTAACAATTAAAATAATCATAATAATGTAAGAAGGCTCTAAGCCCAGTGTCAAGTTTATTGTGTTGTTGCTAGCAACCATCCAGTCAGCCCTTGATTTACGACCATCTCTGCCCAATGGGATCAGAACATGGTGATCCAAAGGGTTTCCACTGGCTGATTTTTGAAAGTAGAGCACGAGGCCTTTCTTTCTAGTCCATCTGAGTCAGGAAATTCTGCTGAAACCTATCCAACATCATAGCAACAAACAAGTCTCCAGTGACAGACAGGTGGAGGCTGCACATGAGTGTCATTGGCCAGGAATTGAGCCCAGATGTTCCAAAGGAAAGCGAGAATTCTCATCAATGAACTGTCACTGCCCAGTCAGACTTACAGTAATCTTTAATGTTTACTATTATTATTGCTCCATCACTCATCTGTCAACATGTCGTACTATGTTGGCTAATGTGTTGCTGTGACACTGGAAGCTGCATGGTCACCCATGGTGGATACGTTTGAGCAACACTTCCAGATTAAGAAAGATTAGGAAGGAGGAGAAGCAGATCCCTTCTGAATGGTTAGCCACTGACAGCACAATACTGTCTGATTTAGAGCGGGAAGATGAGCCACTCAGGTTGGAAAGCACTCAAAATACAAGTGGGAAGAGCTGTCTCCTCCAAGTATTGTTGTTGTTGTTAAATGCCATCGAGTCGGTTCCGACCCATAGCGACCCTGTACAGGGTTTCCGAGGGTGTAAATCTTTACGGGAGCAGAAAGCCTCCAAGTATAGTTGACTATAATGACATGGATGAAGTAAAGTTTTCGGGACCTTTATTTGCTGATGAGGTTCAACTCAAAATGAGAAGAAACAGCTATAAACATCCATTAATGATCAGAAGGTGGGATGTACTAAGTATGAATCTAGGAAAACTGTAAGTCATGAAAAATGAAATGGAACACATAAAGATTGATATCCTAAGCATTTGTTGTTGTTTAGCGTCACTGAGTAGTTCTGATTCATAGAGGCTCTGTACAGAGTTTCCGAGGCTATAAATCCCATCTTTCTCCCATGGAGCAGCAGGTGGGCTCGAACCACTTATCTCACAGTCAGTTTTTATCCTACAGAGCCACCATACACCGTTATCCTTGGCATTAGTGAGCTGAAATGGACTGGTCTTGGCCATTTTTAATTGGATAATCATATGACCGACTATGCCAGAAACAAAAACTGAAGAGGAATGGTGTTATATTCTTCATCAAAAAGAGCATTTCAAGATTTATCTTGAAGTACAATGCTGTCTGTGCCAGGATAATACCCCTACGCCTACAAAGAAGACCAATTACTACTATTATTATTCAAAGTTACACACCAACCACTAAAGCAAATGGTGATGAAATTAAAGGATTCGGACAGCTTCTTGGTCAAACATGCAATCATGATGAATTTATAATTGCAGGTGACTGGAATGCCAAAGTTGGAAACAAAGAGGAACAATCAATAGTTGGAAAATCTGGCCTTGGTGACAGAAATGATGATAGAGATGACATGATAGAATTTTGCAAGCCCAATGACTTACTCACTGAAAATACTTTTTCAACAACATAAAAAGTGACTCACTATACATGTGGACCTCACCAGATGAAATACACAGGAGTCAAATAGACATCTGTGTGAAGAAATGATGGAAAAGCTCAATAACATCAGCTAAAATACGGCCAAGGGCTGACTGTGGCATACACAAGTTCAGGCTGAAGATGACGAAAATTAAAACAACTCCACAAGAGCCAAAATATAACCCTGATTAAGTATGCTATTGTTGTGAAGTGCCACTGAGTCAATTCCGACCCATAGTGACCCCTGTATAGGGTTTCCAAGGAGCAGCTGGTGAGCTTCAACCATCAACCTTGCAGTTCAAATGACTTTGCAGTCTGACACGTTAGCCCGCAGCACCACACCAGATAAACTGAATTTAGAGACCATCTCAAGAACAGATTGGATGCATTAGACACTAATGACCAAAGACCAGAAGAGCTATGGGATGACATCAAGAACATCAAAAGATCATTAAAATGTTAGGAAAGAAAGGACAGATCACAATGTTGTATAGCAGAAGAGACTGTAACTTGCTCTTGACTATAGAGAAGTGGAAGCAACTGGAAGAAATGATGAAGAAAGTGCTGAACAGGGCAGCTCAAGAAAATGAAGTCAAATATTATAATGAAATATACAAAAACCTAGAATTAGAAAACCAAAAGGAAGTACATGATGAGCATTTTTCAAACTAAAAGAGTTGAAGAATAAATTCAAACCTCACCTCAAGTTGCAATACTGAAGGATTTTATTATATTAAATTAAATAAATATTAATATTAAATGACACAGAAAGCATCAAGAGAAGATGGAAGGAATACACAAAGTCACTGTACCAGAAATATTGGTTGACGATCCTGCAACCAGAAGAACTAGATGGTGCCCAGCTACCACCACCAACTGCTCTGAAAGGAATTATATTAGAACAAAATGGGAGAAAATGTAGATGAAAATGCAAAATTATTTTTAAAAAAGACCAGACTTACTGGTCAGAGACTGGAGGAACCCAAGACTATGGCTCTTGGCGACCTTTCCGATCTGGAATAGAACTCACACTTGTGGCCCAATTTAAGCCAAGCAGTAGACAGGTATATACGGGGGACAACAACACTAATGTGGTATGCCCACCATGAAATGGTCAATCATCCAGGATCAAAGGGGCAACATTTACCTAAGGACAAAGTTAAAAAAGGATAGGAAGGAGGGTGGACTAGAAATAGGAATCACAGGGAGGAAATAACACAACTCACGTTGCAAGGAAGCAATTGCAATCATTGAGATGAAACAGTGTATTATTTGTTGAATGTCAAACTGATGACCTTGGCTTCACTCAATTCCCAATAAAAAGTTGGGAGAAAAAAAAAAGAATTGGTCAATGTTCACTCAGTGCAAGACGTACCATAAGACCAAGACCTGATGGTACTGAAGGAAGAAGGCTAAACTGCACTGAAGGCATTGGCACAAGACAAGGCTCCAGGAATTGGAGGAATACAAACTGTGGGCATTCTTTTTTTATTTGTCTGTTCATTGGTCTCTCACTGTTTGTGCACCTCCACTCTGGTGACTAGATGGGGTGCCTAAGTAAGTGGACACCTCCCTACCCCTTGGAGCGCATCCTACACGCATCCTACGAATGCATATGGATCTGCTCAGCAGAATCCAAGAAGGGCAACGGCATGGCTTAAAACCAAATGGCCATGCAAAATGGGTACAGCCAGCCCAGATCTGTATCTTCCATCAACACTTTCAGCTGATTCTAACTAGATATGAGGATAGGGGAGAGCATGACACAAAGTTGAAGACTGGTTTGTTAAGTGCAGTCAAGTTGGTTCCCATACTTTTAATGACCTATTGCTTTCTTCCTGTATGATGTTCTTGATGTCATACCCAAACTCTTCTGGCCCTCAGTCATTAGTATCTAATATATCATATCTATTCTATAGATGGTCTCTAAATTCAGATGGGATATACTGAAGGTAATATTTTGGCTCTCATGGACTTGTTTTAGTTTTCTCCAGCTTTAGCCTGAACTTGTGTATAAGCAATTGATGATCTGTTCCAAAGCATTTCTATGGCCTTATTTTGGCTGATGATGCGGAGCTTCCCAGGAAAGTTGATCCCTATCATTCCTCTCCTGATTGCTGGCCAAGGTCAGCTTGTAATCTACAAAAACAAGCCATCTGACTATGGAGAGGTGCCACTGGGAATTTCTGCTGTCATGCCAGCTCCTGTCAGTCTGAACTTGTGGATGTAGAGTCTGGCCTAGTTTGGATCTAAGTTCTCAGGCTTTCCTGGACAGTGCCATTTAAGTCTTCCCTACCCAAGAATCTACATGCATGAAGCAGGCCAGGGGAGAGAGTAGAAAGGTAAATAGTTTATGCCTATAATCTGAAGGAGCAAGAGGGGCTCAGTTACAGATGATTGTTGCCATGGAAAAATGAAGGTCCTGATTTGCCAAAACGAAAAAGAATGAAAATCTCAGTTTTTATATGAATTCTCCTGACTTTTGTATTTTGGTTAACTAATTCCAATTAAAAACTATCATAACCTCCAATAGCAACTGTGTAGACCAAACACAATATGACTTGGCTCAGGAATAAGAAAGATAAATGTGAGAAACGAGCAAAGTAAGAACTTGTCAACTACAAATCTTGCAAATAACGGTACTTTATCGGTGTTTCCTACTACCATGTTTTTATTTTATGAGTACAGTAATCCGTTCTTATCCATGGGGATGCATTCTAAGACCTCCATTGGATGG